ATAAGTCAGATTTAGAATGGGTGGTTTTGTAGTCCTATCTGAATTTTTTTTTTTCTGAAACTCTCTGGGTCCTGGATGGCGCGGTGCACAGCGCTGTAGTTGTACCCAAAACTGAGTCAGTGGGATCAAAAGTTGTCACCAAGCATTATTGAATCTCATTTAATTGCTAGAGCTTTGATCAACGGTCTTGATTGTTTCCCACTCAAACCTTTAGGTTTAAACAAAGGTATGACATCCTGATCTGTAGGAAGGTATAGAGGACTGTGATAAAACTACAGGAAAGGGATCTTACCATTATTGATTAGATAATCAACTTAAACCAGTGAAGTGCTCAACTGATAAAGAGAGGGCAAAAAACCAAAGTAATGAGGATGACGGGTTAAATAACGTGTTTTGATTCTAGTTTGGTGCAGCTTTTATTAATGCGAAAGTGTCACACATCATAGCCCCTGTCTTAAAGAAATGAGAGAGACAAAAAATGTGAAATGAAATTCCTTGGCATCTGTAGTACTTATCTACTATTTATCCATTTTGTCTGCTTAATCTCATGAGACAATTAAAAAGAACTAGACCATCAACAGGTGTTCCCATTTTTTTCTTATAGACAAAAGACAGCAGTTTCTGATTTAAGTACAGTTTCATATTAAAAGCACCAGCAGGCTGGTTTAACAGGAGTTCATGTAAAAAGTGGCTTCAGCTGTGTTATTTCTATGAGCAGCCACACACGTACACACGTACACACGTTTTAAAACACACACAAGCTTGTCTTATGTACATAGCCTGGCATACCCAAATACACAAAAAAATGCCAAGGAAGCCTGCTAGACTAGTTGAAAGTTTCTAAAATAGGTCGTGCCATTTTCCAAGAAATAAAAAACAGCATAAAGTCAGCTACACGTTCCATAATTTATAATCACATGAGATGCCAGTTGATTTTCCGGCATGCAAGAGCTAAGCCAGTAGGCCTGGGTTTCCCATCGCTGCCTTCTGGTCTCCATTCCAACAGATCTTAACTGCTTAATTTTTCATCCACCCATCCATTTTCTTCTGCTTTATCCAATTCAGGGTCACAGGGGAGCCTATCCCAGCAAGCACCGGGCCCGAAGCAGGGTACACCCTGGTCAGGGCAGCAGTCCATCACAGGGCACACAGACACACCTTGGCCTGTGGGAGGAATCCAGAGCAGCCAGAGGAAACCCACATGGACCTGAGGAGACCTTGCAGGCGCCACACAGACAGCACCCCCCAGGACCTGAACCCAGGGCCCAGCACTGCGAGGCAGCAATGCTGACCACTGTACCACCACCCCACCCCATACTGCTTACATTTGCTCAGTTTCACTTTTCAGGTCTTTAAAAATGGGCATTTTCTTCTTCTCTTCTATCTGCAGCCCAAAATAGCCCAACTCTTGCCGAGCTGAAAACGTTGAAAACAAGCCCAGCCCCTGTGGGGCAAACTGCCGTATTAGGGCAGTAAGATTTCAGAAAACGGAACGAAATGCAGAAGACACAGGAATCCCTTCAGACCAGGACTGGGATATCCTGGCTTCCCTACAGATGTCTCATCCTGTTCTCCAGGCACAAGAGAACTGCTGGAGAGCCAGGAAGGTTTTCTATAGTTCAGTGGGGCTGGGCCATGCCTGACAGGGACAGGGATCACATAATTTATGTTTTTTTTCTAAATTTAAGATAATGTGCAGAAGCAATACAAAATGCTTAGATATCACGTGCAGAATTGAGATGGATACATGGTGTGTTAAAATTGTACAATGCACTAGAAAGACCACACATTGAACACTGTGTATAATAGGAAAGTCCTACTCTGGCAGACTCGCAGCACTGAATTTCTTTCATCTCAAACAGAGAAGACTGATACAAGTATTCAAAATCTTCATAAGGACAGCAACCCATTGGAGTTCTTCAGAATCCATGATGAAACCGGAACCCGGAACCACAGGGGGTCACAAGTGAAATATGTGTGCAAGCACGTCTGTGCAGGTACTTCTTTACACAAAGAGGTTGTGGGAGTATGGACCATGCCATCACAGCTATGGTGTTGAAGCCAATTCCCTGAATTCTTTTAAGAAACGCCTGCAAGAGATGCTCAGATCAATTCGCTAAATGGCTCCTCTCACTGTTTGCCTCTCCCTGTAAACCTCCTTACAGCTCCCTACACTATGAACCAGGAAGGGCTATCCCAGGGTGCTCTGGCTTTCATTAGAACACAGGAACACAAGAAAAGGTGACAAACACCAGTGGGCCAACTGGACTTTTTTGGTCTCTCGTAGCCGACTGATCCGAGAATCTCGTCCAGCCATTTCCTGTAAGGATTGTGGGGAATCGGCTCCAACATCGTGACACGGCAGAGACCTTTCTCCAACCCAGGGCTTAACTGAGCAGCAGAACCAACAGTTCAAGTAGTAAAATAAGCTGTCCTGTCCGGCCATTATCAGTTCTGTAAGAACCTGATCTCCAGGGGAAACAAAGACACATCGAGAAAAAGGAATCAAAGCCAGTTTCTCAGAGGGACTATGCTCTAAGCTTGGGGTCCCCAGCTCTTTTTCAGCATCCCAGCTCTAAGCACTGAAAAGAGTCTACAGGAACTGCATTTACAAATTAAAGTGTTTCACATCAGATATAACGCTCATCATCACTCACTCCAATGCTAACAACGCAGTTCAACTTTCGTGCAATAAAACTGCTTTCGATTTAAATGATCTCCTCGACGACGTGCACTGAGGCTGCTGTCCGATGACTCAGCTCCCGAGTCGTCATGTTAAGACCTGGCAGACGCGGAATTTGCATTTGTTTGTGTTTGCTTGTGTAGCCCGCAGCCCCCGCTGCCCGCCCCGGTCCGGCGTTGCCCGCAGTCCCGCGAGCAGCCCCCAGGCTCCTGCCTCCCGCTGGGCACGCCCGGGTGCGGCGCCTGCCCCTCTCAGTCTCTCAGCAGCAGGTACTGCTGCACGGACTCGGGCAGGGGCAGCTCCTTGACGGCGGC